GAAGAGAGAGAGAGAAGAGAGAAGAGAAGTTAAAAAAAATCCAGTCATCTACCCTTGCTAATCCTATCAACCTCCATACCATTCCCATTAACCTGCCTCGTCGCAGTCACACTCTCCGTACTTACAGGCGCGCCGGTGAAACCTAATCTCGCCCTGGGCGGAAGTCCGTGAAATTCCGGAAGGTTCTCCATCTCGTACATCTGCATATGGTGGGCGAAAGCGTCCGCGTGAAGCCTGGTCGCCATTATTCCGAATCCCTCGACCAGCGCCAAGAAGATACCGCCGACGGTGGCGCTGCCTATCATCGATGGGATCCCGGTTCTTGCGGCCAGAACGCCACCGGTGAGGGCGCCACTCAGTATGGAGTTCCATGGGTCCTCTTTCGAGCGGAAATGTATCAGGGTGCACTCGATCGCTGAGAACAAGCAGCCCCAAATGGCGAAATTGCCGGATATTTGCGGGACCCGGTTTTTCACTGTCATTATACCGCCGTAGAATCTTCGTTGGAAGCCAGATGGCGCGTTCCGAAATCCTATGATACTCTGGATGACGGAAGAAGGGGATTTGTTGTTGGTTTTCGATAAATTGCGATTTTATTTTTATACATAATCTCTGAAGGAGAGGAATTTTTTGCAAATTATACGATATCCGCAAGTTTGATGTTTGGATAAAAATTGTGGACAAGAATTTGAGCGAGAAGGAATTGGAGGGGATTGGCGTGTGAAAAGAATTTACTTGAAAAAGCGTGCCGCAAATGGCGCCCATGGTGAAGGCACCACCGCAATCGTCCATTATTCTCCAGGGGCACGGTTCGCGATTGTATTCCATATTTTCGATCACGAGTCTTTCTTCGACGTATCGATAAACATAATCATCTATCAAAATCTATTGTTAGTTATATTTCTACACAAATTTGTCGCTCATGATTTGATACTATATAGTTATGGTCTTCATAAGTCCTCTTGTAATTGTCGTACTTGTAAAAACTTGTATATCGATGCAAAAATATTTTACTCTTTAATTACCGTGAAATTGTCAATACTTTGAACCTATTAACGGATTATTCTCGTTCCATTTCTATCGAGGGTATATGCGATGCGTGCGTATATTCACCTTTCATGATTGAAATCAAAATATCTGTCTCTTTCAAATATACATTATTACTTTTAAAACATTTAAATATATATACATACGATTTCAATATTACAAATTAAATTAACCTTTTCAGGAGGAAAATTTTTTTAGAAAAAAAGAGAGAGAGAGAGAGAGAGAGAGAGAAGAAA